CTACTAAATACGGTGTATTTATTGGTTCATTCTTCTTGGGACTAGCTTTTCTTGACTTTGTTCAATGTTTTGTAAAATTCAAGATTAGTCTTATGATATTAAGAGCAGGTTTCGAATCTATTTCAAATCTCATAAAGATATCCTCTCCTGCTTCAAAATCTCACCCTGGACTGAATGTGAGAAGACAAAATTAGTCGTTTCAAGACAGAATCATCAAAGATCAGTGCCCATCAAAGAGCTTTACTTGGAGGAATAAAGAAAGAGGCCAAATTTCAAGATAACGCAGACAGTCAGTGAGACTGGAGTGCTTGAAGCTGCTGGAATTTTTTTAAGTCATTCACAAATACTATATCTACCCTTGACAGGTCATTTCATTCTATTTAGCACTTTTTATTCTCTGTGGTTTATAAGCTCTTAAGCAAATGTAAGAGGGAGGAAAAGCTAACGTGTCTGATAATACACTATATCAGGCTGACAACCTAACTGAATTTCCCCTGTGGTGCTAGCAAAATGCTGTTCCAAAAAGTAATAATGCATACAACCAAAAAAAAAAGAGAGAGAGGAAAAGGGGGGAAAGGGATCATAGAGATCATGCCGTCACATTTAATTTCAGAGAACAAAACCTGAAGCTGATTTCTCTTTAGATCAGTTGTATACCAGTTGGAACATGGGTGCCTAGCACTGCGACAGAGTAATATGATCTGAGCTTTAAATAGCTGCCAAATAACCATGTGGTGGCTGGCAGCATTAAACGTGTTGCAACGAGAATGATCTGTTTCAAAGTAAAGCCACATAACAGAGGATTAGTCAATCTGATGTGGTATAGAAGAGGAGGGGGGAACGTTTTTCATTATCCTTCTGGGTTTCTTTCTGGTTTAAACGTCTTCCAACTCAAAGATGCATTAATTTAAGCTCTTTCTCTTAACTGGTTTAAAACCTGAACGATGTCCAGGTCATTTCAGATAACATCTCCTAAGGTACCCGGGTACAAGGTGGGGAGTAACAGTGTGACAAATGTGAGGTAACACCACTGAGACTGTTCCCTTGATTTAACCTAGTACAGAGTGGCTGCCTCTCAGTGTGAAATGCACCTTCCCTGCACAGAGCTGCTCTCCACCATCCAAATCCCCCCATCCCACCACCATCCCCCCACCTCCCTAGTTTGTACCAAATGCATTCTTGCCAGATTTTAGGAATAGATAAGGAACAGATCTACAGCAAGTAACATGGGGTGATTTGTACTCCAAGCCCTTTCCTTACCCTCACAGCAAAATGTCAAGCCTTGCAGCACTCCATGGGGCCCTTCTGGGCTCTCTGGGACACAGGAGAGAATCAGCTGCAGTTTAGAGATGTCTAATGCAGGAGTTGCTGCCAGCCCTCCATTCCTTCTTACCTTCAAGTCAAATGGCTCTCCTGGCCACTATTGTAAATATGTCTCCTGAGTAGATAAGGCATGTAAGGACTGGAAAGACAGACCAGTTTTGGTCTTAAACTGGTAATGTGAGTGAGAGACACAGAGGGAAAAGTGGTGCTGTAAGTACTTGCGATTCTTCATCCCTTCTGTCACTTTTGATTATAGATGACTGACTTCTGTTTTCAATTTGAGTGTCTCCCCCAACTTCAGCTGCATCAGTTCAGACTTACTGTAAGTTAACAGCAGAATTTCATGTGAACATACTTTATCTAGCCTTCACTGCCTGGGAATCACACTGCCAAAAGGACAAATAAGAACAGGAGAGCCAGAGGAGAGCCAGCTGCTGCATCAGAAGGTAAATAGCTCATTTAAGATGTTCAATATGACTTCGTAAAAGAGAATAAGCACAACATACTTCACAGCCAGGATTTTGCAGGAATGAAGACAGCTATAGACACTACCAACAACTGTTTTACTAGCAGTTTACTAGCACACTGCAGAGTACAGTCTCAACAGCAGCAGGTAGGCACTCTGAGGAGAAATAAAGCAGGCCTTTTTTTGCATTTCCTCAGAGAAGAACACTGTTTTATCTCATTAATGTAAATGCCAACAAACAGCCACAAATTTCATGAAGATCAGCTCCAGTGAAATCTACAGGAGCCATCCAAATGAGTTAAAAGAATAAATGGGAAAAATCCTTTTCTGACTGGTCTTGTCCGCAGCTGCCTTTGCCACATTGTGTTGGTGCATCCCCCAGGGATCAACAACAGCTGCACAGGGGTCTGGCAGATGGCATCAACAGAGGGACACTCACCTGTCTTTTTCTCCCTCCTTTCTCACCTCCTTCTCCTTGTTTTCACACTGCCTCCTTTGCGGGCAGTCAGAGTCCTTCCCATGTTTGCATTGGGCAAATGGATGATTTACAGATTGAAAGTAATCAGAAAATGCTTCTTATTTACTCTTCTTCCTCACTCTTCCAAACACATTTCTTAAAAAATAAATCTCTTTTCTTCCAATATGATCACAGCCTATTAAGCCAGCTAGGAAATTATTAAGGGAAGAAAAAAACCAACCAAACTCCCAAACTCCTATGGATTTGTGAAGAGCACAGTTCTTTGACCAATTTCACAGAATATTTTGATTAGCGTATTTAATCCTCTTTACAATATTTTATTCTGCTCTCATGAAAATCCCTGCATCCCTGCCAAGGATTTTCTAGACAAAGCATAGCTGGAAGAATGCCACAAAGCAAGTCTCCTTAACTGGCCTGTCTTCCCCAAGTTACAAACCCATTCTCCTGCACATAGCTCTTTAATGAAATCAGAAGAACAAGAGTTAAACTGTGCTTTTAGGCAATAATCATCCAGAAATGCCTCCCCTCTACCCTTAACACTATTCCTTGGTCTGCAGCAACTACTTATTACATATCACGTGCTTACCTAAATACATTTTTTGGAGGGAGCAAACAAACCCCACCATTTCAGAAGGAACCTGACTTTCAGTTCTGCCACTGAGAGGGAATCCAATTAAAGCAAAATGATAGAGCTACAGACTGCTGCCAATGTATGAGTTTGAGTGAAAAATTTATGAGGACTCAAGAAATTTCTGCTGGTGTTGGAAAGGCTTCCAGACATTTCCAAGGGAATCCACAGAAACACCTTGGATCTTGAGGGCCATTACCTCCACAGTCTGACCCAAAGGGTTGCCTCCAAGAGAGGATGTCTCACACACAAAAGTGTAACTAATTTAGCTGCATAATGGAGAGAGTTCTGAAGATGCACATGGGCTGAATTAAGTGCGCCACGGGAGCCTTTGGCTCAATCCTTGCAGAGTTTATTAGTTGCTGCTGCACACATGGTTGGGTTTGCTGGAAGAGGTCCAGCTCTGAGGCACCTCTCAATTCCTCCAGCTTCCAAAAGCTGCAAGGAAGTGGCTCAAGCACATTGCTCCCTTAAGCTCTTGTGGAGAAGGACTCTCCCCTGCAGAGAAGCAGACAGGGTTTGGGATTGGGTAACTAGTCAGTAACTCTTGATTATTGAGTTTACCTTCACAATTACCAGTGAGTGTCCTAGACTATAAAGAGGGCAAAAACCAACAGAATGTATTATTTGAGAAACAGTATGTAATTGTGTAATTAAGGGCAGGAATGTAATACCATATGCACAATGAGCAGGGTTAATTTCAGCATTTCCTGACTAACCAACTGCATTATGGTGTAACCCTAATGTTCTCTGGATGGCTATCATTTATGTGGGGTTCATATATATATATATATATATGCTTATGAATACTTGGTTAAAATTCACCCATCATACTCTCTGACACAGTAATTAAAAACACCATGTTATTTGCCAATAAAAATATTTTTGTGAATTGGTAATTATTCTAAACCTCACAGTCCCAGTTTCCCTACCTCCTACTCTTGTTGTCTTCCTGTTCTATAATGTATAACACTAATCTTGATGAGGGAAAAATAAATAAGTAGCAGGAAAGGCTGGAAAGCTTCCAATCACAAAACCTCCCAAAATGGAATAACATCCAATCTGGCTCACCACATCTTCTCTGTGGGCATTCCTTTCCTGCCTTTTAGCAATGCTTTCAGTATTCATAACAGCTGTGGAATTAAGCATTATGAACAAGAACAAACCGACACACACCCTTTACTTTTCCCCATCAGCCCCAAACTATTCTGCATTGAGTTACAAAGTGAAAACCAGCACACACTCAGATGGATTTAATTTCTATTTCGGCCCAATGCCAGACAAAGTTTCCCCATTGTTAAAACTCAACCCCATCTTTTCCGTACCATGCATGCAGTCTCATCTTTACCCCATCTTCCACACAGATGTGCATGCACACACACACACAGAACCAGCCACTCCTACAAAGCAGTACCAAATCCATCTCCCTGACTGTCTTAGCCAGGCTCTTTGCTTTCCCTAGCAAGCCTAGTAGGCAAGTTGGATTTGGTCTATAATGCAGATTTTTAACATGTGGCAAAATGAAGGCTGCACAAGACACACATTTTCATGTCCTAAATATTGTCTTGATAATAAACCTTTTTTAATAAAAAATTAATTTTACACAACCATGAAAATATTTTTTAGAGGAGCCAGTTGTTCCACTTAAAAATAAAAGGGTTAAAACTTAATTAAAATATTAATGCTATAATTCAAAATACAATTTTGGCATAACTTCAGATAATGAAGGCATTTTGGCTTACAGGATCATGCAACACATTGATTTCAGAATACAGAAGTATACAGCTTTTAAATGCATACAGAAAAGAGAAATGGGTAATAGAACAGTTAAGCTTTTACACATTCATGGCAATTGTCTTCTCTCTTGTCCTCTTCCTATGGATGCTGCATGAACAACTGCACTCTATTTTTATAAAGTGCAGACATGTTTGCTGCCATTAAAGCTAAGGCAAGTAGTGGAAAACAGGAGAGGAGGTAGATTGAATTACTGTGTTTGAATGTTTGCCTTCTCCTCTACCTTACGCCATTCTCTATAAACAGAAGAACAGTATAAATGCTAAAAGATAAATCTATGAAATATTGATTTGAGGCAATTCATGTTCATGTTTTCCTTGCAGAAAAATTTTTTCTTCTGTTTATTAACCTACAAAAATCCTGCTAATAGTACAATGTGAAGAACCACTTGTGTACTTTCTAAAGAATTAAAAACCACTAGTTGGGACTAAAGGTTGTTTCTTCCTGTACTGAGTTTTGTGTCCCTTACCCTTCAACAAGTAATAGAAGAACTTCCAGAAGTCTGCCTGCACATTTAAGATGGCCATAATGGTAATAATGTACAAAATTGTGTTCCAGTTTTCAGTTGTCACAAAGTTTCACAAGTATTGCTGTATTCCCTTCAGCAGCGTCTGACTAGTCTGAGTGTAAATAAATGTAACGCCCTACCAACAAGAACAGCATTCCTGCTAATAAAGCAAAAAATACTCCTATAGGAGCCAACATAAACGACCAGCCATAACGTACATAAACAGCAAAGTCTGGGCAATCCATCTTTTTCATGTTTGTGTAGTTTTCCAGATCAGCCATGGCCTGGACCCAGATGACATACATCACGACTACCAGCGAAAACAAGGCACCTGGAAAAGAAACACCAGGTTTTAACAACAGAGTGTGAGACAGATGCTGGGTGCATTTACTGTGTTACCTAAAAAGCCACCAATGCCTGAGGTCCTGTCTGCATGGCACTGTCAGCCACCACTGGATAATTTTTGCCTTTGGCTTCCTCTAACTAGCACTACCCCCATCTTGCTCCTGATCTGCACTGAAAGGCATGCTCCCATGACAAAGGTGATATCTGGTTCTGGTAGGCAGACTTTGGTGACAAAATTCATGCAGGTATTTACTGTTTTGAATTCAGGGGTCAAGGACGGGGAAGGAGGGGGAATGGAATGGGACAACCTGGGAAAAAAAATGTACTTTTGCTTCCCAAACTCTGGCATTGTTTTTATCAGTTTTATGGATGAGATATAGAAAGGAGTGGGAAATCTTTCCATTATCTTCACCTCTCTGCATTTGCTTCTTTATTCTTTTGAAAAGGGCTGTGTTTGGAACACAAAATTTCAGAGTATTCTACTCAAATATTTTGCATAAAAATTCAAATGTATTTAATTCAAAATCATCCACCTTTTGAAAAGAAGCTCTTGGTAGAGGAAAAAACCCCAACAATAATTAAATAATAACTATGAAGCAGGCTATTAGGAATAACCTCAAATTGGATACAACAGTTTCCTGAAATTAATCCACCACATAATTCACAGCCTTTTCCAAACCACTCCTCTGAAAGGCCTTTGAATTGTTTATACATGATAGTAATAGGAGCACATGTCCTTACAAACTTCGATAATCTCCTTGTTACTATACACCAGAAGGAGATATAAGAAGAAAGTGCTTTCCAGAGTATCAGTTGCATTCCTAATATTTCATTTCACTTTAGAGGAATGTGGACACTTGAGAAATGCAAGTCTGCCGAACAGATGCTCCAGAAGAAGATCTGCTGGAGGACTGAGGGCACGAGTCTAAATTTTTTGCATGCTTCAGCCTGTACCCATTTGCTCCCTGAGCTCCAGCTGTCACAGCAAAGTGGCAGCAGCAGGACCATCTATTCCAGCAATCAAATACTTGAGGGGCACCACCCCATCACATTTTTATCCCAGAATGTTTAGGTGCCTCATTAAAACACAACTCAGTGCACAGTCCTGGGAACACTCACTGCCAAACTTGAGGTTACAGGCTGTACATCAAAGGTATTTGTGGTCTCTTCTCCATCCTGCTAAATACTTGCAATGCAACCTTGAACAAATGTGATATTTGTGGCAAAACCCACAAGTGCACTTTGGAAACACCCATGGCCAGGGATTTGCTTCTATATCCACATGTCCTGGTAACCTTTGATGGTTACCTTTCCCCATCCCCAGCCTGAGATGCTGCCTCACAGCCTCCTTTCCCACCCTTTCTGCCCATTTACCAGGGAGCAGCTCTTTTCCTCACATCCTCACATGATGCAGACAAAACCAGGCAGGTTAGATGGAGCAGCTTAACCTGGTGATCTTCCTGCTACTGCTTTATGGACAAAATATAACATCTTTACATACATCCTGAACATCTGACAGGTGAGAGCTCATGGCTCAATCCTTATAAACATTATCTTTTAAAGACCAACAAAAAAGGGACTGAGGCATAATCAAAACATTCCCAAAGGATCTGCAATTTCTAGGAGGCTGAAATAATAGTAGAAAAACTAAATAAAGAAGGAGGCAGACACATTTCATGTCTATGAAATACACTTCCAGGATTACATTTTTGCTAAGGTTCAAATTCCTAACAAAGTTTGAAAAAACCCAACACTCAACTCTAAGAGGCATAAATTCAATTTTGAAAGTATTTTACCTAAGTAAAACTCAATTTTGATGGAATTTAGTACTGTGCTTGTATTAAACATAAAACCATGAAACAATCAGAGAGAAGGATTGCCTTAGGGCCAGACAAGAAGAATAAGAAATTAAATTGAAAAACTCTTTAAATATAATTCAAATTGAGCAGAAGATTCCTATAACAGAACATCTAATGATAACAGGTAATGTGGGCAACACAGGAAAATTAGAACAAAACAGAACTAGTAACTTTTGATTAAAAAAGTAGAAAGATTCTGGGACAAATTCATAAATGGAGTTATTAGATATCTGAATTTTTTTCAAGGTTTCAAAATTTGAACAAAAAATGATAGCACTAAGATTTGGAAAGATACATTAATAATCTGGCAAAATCCACAAGGACATTGGAATTTACCTCTTCAACTGGCTGTGCCTATGCATTTTCAAACTAGTCCTCTATTTAATCTCTATATAGGGAAAACAGTCCAAAACAATAATAATTTCAAAAGTAGTGATGCATATTCCCTTACTATAGCAGCAGGTAAGTATAACCAGGCTTTGCACATCTGGAAAGCCCTCTGGCATCCTGGGTAGAGCAGAGTTATGTAGAGAAGTTAGTCAAAAACATCCATCATTAAAACAAAACTGCATCAAAGGTGCTTTAATCTAGAAATGGGCACCCCTTGTTTTCAGACACTCTGAAGCAACACTTAGGTGGTTAAACTAGAATCAACACCATGTAGGTGCAAAATAGCAAGCCAGGGCTGCCAGTGGTGAAACAACTTCAGGGAATCTATCATCCATCGGGTGTGATTTCACAGCAAGCTGTTACACCTGTGAGTGGCAAATTGTCGGGTATGGAAATTTTCAGAAGAAATGTATGTCAAGCAGAGATAAATGTTCTTCCTTAAAAGGGAAGAAAAAGAAAGGAAGAGTATGTAAACCCTCTTAGTTAATTAAGGCACTAAAGGAATATTTAAGAGTTCTCATCACCTGCTAATGGAGACTAATTAATAGGTTTATTACTTAGCATGTTCAATAAATATCTTGAACAATAGGATCAGGCTAAGTAAAAACTGACCATGTCCTGTTGCCACCATCAGTATTTCATTCATTAGCACTCCTTTTGTCTAATTTTCACAGAGTTATGACTTCACGGGAGTTAAGCTCTTAGACAGTTCACTGAACGTATATTTATCCTGAGAAATCTGCTCCTGCACTCTTGCACTGACAATCTATTGTGAATGTTGTGAACTCTGCAAGGCAAGCTCCACGACAAAATTACTGAGATTGAAAAAAAAAATCCACAATTTCTTGAAGCAAATATTTTTAAGAACAGTGTGTGCTGTGATACATTTCTACATTTTTGGCATTTAGACCTTTTTCACAGAGTGCGGGCATCCTTTTGCCTTTGCCTTTTAGTGAACAAAAAAATAGAACAGCAGTTGCATGAATCAGTAATGATGAGGGAAATTATTCCTAGAACATGAAATATGTCTGAGAGAGATTAAGACAAATAAATACTTCCCTCCTACTCCTTTTTCTTTCTATTTTCGATTTTTCTTTTTTTTTTATAAACACACATGTTTGAAACACAGTACTGTGCAGTGTGATAAGACACGGACTTCTCTGAGGTCACTCTTTTCTGTCTTTCACATTCATTCTTTTGAATTTCTTTCAAACAAATACTTGTGCATATTGTAGAGGAGAAAGAATACAGAACCTTTAGAAATGTCTGTGAATTCAAGAAGCAGTTTGCTGGCCTTTAGTACTGATTCTTCCCACGTAGAAATGCCTTTCACTTGTCAATGGTGAATAGCTGTTTATGGCATGAATCTTTTACTATGCAGACACGAAGACAACAGGTGCTAGAAAGAATGATGTGAGCTTTTTACTTATGCCTGGAAGTTTAGAACTCTTTATCTCACTTGAGGAAAACTTCTCTGTGTGTGTGTGTGTGTATTTTTTTTATTAAATGCATTTTTCTGTTCTTGTCCTTATTTCAGATTCTACCACCTACCTTGGCCTGTTGTGACCTTTATTTAAAAATAATGGTTGGCATTCTCTGCTGAAGTACATGCAGAGGATCCCATGCAAAAGTTATGGAAGTAGGTACATGTCTCTAAAAACAGATTTTTGTCCTCATGTAGGATCTCAAACTAAAGTACCATCTTATTTCGCTCTTTTGGCAGGAAGCAGCAGTCATACTTCTAATCTTGTTTCTTCACCAGGGTGTGATTCTGTAATGCTCTGTGCACATCCTGGTATATTGCTTATTGGCATCAGTACAAGAGGACAGTTTTCACCACCACCAGGCAGAAAGAGGTACAAGGTAATTATGGACTTTATGGAAGGCTGCTCTAAGAGATCATTTTATGGCAGATTTCCCTTCTTTTCCTATAACCTTTGAAGCACCTATAAGGCTTCTTACAGTTTTCAGTACCATAGCTGCTCTTGGACCATCCTCTGATGTTGCAGACATGGAGATGAGGCTGGAAAGGCAGGACTCAAGTCACTGACTGTGGTATCATTGAACTGATACTCACTTTTCCCCACAGGTCTTGCAGGTGTAGTTTTACCTGTGCACTCAGGTGGTCAATAAGGTTACAAAGTTTTGCTACTCCCAATTAAGGAAAAATGAGTCAGGAAAATGATAGATGGTGTTAATTGTAATTATGATGGCCATGGAATGGCAAAAGTTAATATCCTAGGAGGAATATGAAAGGTAAGACCCAGAACTTAGGAGAACACACTTCAATCTGTGCAGAGAACTGGTAGGCAAGATCCCAAGAGAGGCTGCCTTGCAGGGCAAAGGCTCCCTTAAAGGTCAAAGGGCCCAGAAGAATCTGGTGTTGCTCATAGACAATTTCCTTAAAGTACAAGAATGGTCCCTTTATGTGTACAAGAATTAAAGCAGGACTTGCAAAAATTAAAATTAACCTCATACAGAGCTGCATTAGCAAGAACACCATCATTAGATTTGAAAATATTATTATCACCCTTTATTCAACACTGGTGATATCATATGTGGTAAGCTATGTCCAGTTTGGAGTCCCCATGTGAAACAGATGTACTGAAAAACTGAGATGATGACCACCACAATGGTTAGGAGAATGGAGAACAAGTAGAGTCTGAATGAGCTGGGGAATTTTAGTCTAGAAAAGAATCCAGTCTTCATTTTTTTAAATGAAGTTATAGAAAATATGGGGATAGATTTTCAGAGACCTACAGGCTTGACAAGATGAGATGTAATAGCCACAAACTGCATCAAGGGCAATATCGGGTGAAAACAAGGAAAGAAAAAATCATTTCTCACAATGAAGTTGGTCAAACTGGGACAAGCACCCAAAGATGTTGCAGAACATCAGTTCCTAGAGATTTTAAAAACTTGATTGAATAAGGCTCTGAGCTTCCTGATCTAACTTTGAAGACAACCCTGCTCTAAATGGAATGTCAGGCTTGATTGCCACAAGAGGTCCTTTTCAACATAAATTAATTTGTGTCACTTGGGATCTCTGTTTAGGCTTCTTGAATGGGTCCCTCCAAAAGGCAAATCTATCTGCCTTAGCACAGAGAAGGTGAGGTGTCCATCTGAGTGTTTCTTACTGTTGACAACAGAAATTTAAGCAGTTGGTTCATACAAAACAGCTTTCAGATGGCTGAACAGTTGGCAAGAATCTCATTCCCAATAATATCTTCAGCTACTTCCTGAACCCTTAGAGGTCACAGCAGATCATTCTACAAGCTGCACTCTTCAGTTGAGGGAGAGCTTTTATGTGCTGCTAATTTATAAGTTAAGGTTGCAGAAGGATAAAGATACGTCCAATAACAGGTAGAAAATCATTTCATCTAACTTATTTTTAAGACAAGTAGGAAAATGACATTTTCTTCTTCTTAAAAGAAGAACTTTTTCCTAACTTCCAAAGAACAATCATCTTGTCTAATTTCCTTCTCAGAGGACTATTCTCTACAGTATAACACATACTTGAATTTTGTGGTAAGACATCATCCAGGCTCTTTCAAAACAATGTGCATAATTCTTTTTTTTTTTCCTTCAAAACAACCTGCTGGTTTCTGTCTTAGAAGAACTCTTAACTTCAACAAATCTAAGTCACATTAATCTAAGTCACATTACATCTTTTCATTTTCCCATTAGGTCTGTGTTTAAGTAGATGCACACCCTGGCTGCATCCTGATCACATGTTTGAGAAGTGATAAATATGCCTCACTTCTCATCACTCTCCCTTTCCATGCCCTGCTTTGATTTGGCAGGCAGTTAAATGAACTCTCTAATCCTGAAGGAGACAGGAAGGGATCAGGGCAGCAGGGAGACAGTAGAGCACATCATCCTCTTCTGCATCAGATTCTATCTTATCTTGCTCTGCCTTGAGCAAACTGAATGGGTCCTATTTTCTCCCGCCACCACCACTTTTTTTGACAAATGATAGCAGGATTTTGCTGCAGACTTTTGCTTTTCAACAACAGTAATGGTAATAGTAAAAATAACATAGCTTTTTTCTAAAGCCCTGATTGAGAACAGTCCTGAAGTTGAAACATGCTACATACAGAGAGAGTAAAAAATCAGGATTTCCCTTGAAGAACATTTTGCTCTATAGGGACAAAGGGTAAAAGGGGCACAGACACAGACCCAAGGTCACACACTGGGATAATAAAGCTCACTTAACTTCACATACCTAAAGAAATAGTCTCTCTAGATTCTCTTAGTAAAGGAAAGAGAGGTGTAGGGTTCCTCGATAGCACATTTATCTGATCCAATTAGACCCCTCTTTCAGTGTGAAATGAATCCCCAGCTGGGGGGACTTCTTACATGCCTACCATTTTTACTGCCATTGAATGTTATTGCCTCTTGCAGCCCTCCTAGGGAAGCCAAGGGAGGCTAGCACAGGCTTGGGGATCTAACTTTCCCCTACCTAAATGAGGGCAATGAACTGACCCAGAGTGGAGAACACAAGCGTCGCTTTGCACCTCTGCCAGTCAGTTCCACTTCTTTCAAGTGCCTTTTTCCTCTCAAACAGCTTCTGCTACTTTCTAGTGACAGCTGAGGTTTTTCATGCATTACAAATGCAGAAAAAGAGCAAGACTCACATGGGCTCTTGCCCTGCAAATTAGTGACAAAAAGCATTGAAATATCTTAGAATCTCCGTCAGCCTATGAATATTTTTTGTATGTCTTTTAAAAGTGTGGAGGAGTAATTCTCAGGAGATGAAATGTAAGTATGCAGGATTTTCTTCAACTAAAATATTATAAAATACTTCCCACACTTCACTGAGAGTCCTTTGGAAGGGAATAATGATCACTAGCTGCATATGAAGAGCATAGAGGTGCAGTGGGTAAGCAAGGTCAGGAGGTCAGTATGAGAAGCAAAAAGAGAGCCCTGGTCTTGCGGTCCTGACACAGGTGGCTCTGCCCTGTAACACAATATGTTCTCACAGGGCTGCCTCTCATCAGGCTTTATACCAAGGAGAACAGAGATGGAGCACATACTATCATTTACATCCTACATAACTATATCTTACACACCAGTGTGACACCTTCACAGACTTTTCAAGGTTAAGCAAACAGTGTGCCAGTGAGCTGTCCATATCAGCTGAATCCTGGGAGGGTGCATCCTCCACTGTACGTGTGGGTTACGAGGAAGGAGGGAATTCAGTTATTTGTTATCTTTCATTTGCAGAGGTTTAGAGCTCCCACTTACTCATACATGGCAATTACTTTGTTTAGTCCCATCACATCCAAAGCATTTTCCTGTATTGGTCATGTATATGTGTTCTGTCTCCCACTTCTTCAGATTCCACTGTAATCATCTTTTGCATCAGTGATAAAGGACTAAACCCTCTCCTTAGCTAAAGTCCTTGAGAATCCTATAAGGCAACATCCTTATATATGCATTCTTTTTCCTGTTAAAAAAAGTAGATTGGAATTGCAGTGTAATTCCATTATTTGTCCTGGATGTGGGGTTTTTTTAACCTTAACCCAAAGCTTAATATAAGGTTTTTTTTAACCTTAACCCAAAAATAGCTTTTATAATAGCTTAATCATGTCTAAATAACTATGCAAAGAACCTGTGTCCAAGGCAAGCATCCACAAGCAAAAGGATTAGAAGCATATGCTTTCTCTTTCTTTTAACGATGATTGATACAAGTCTTGGTTAAGGAAAATGGAAGAAACAACTCATCCTTTCTACTCTATAATTGACTGAGCAAACAGTATACCCACCAGCAATGATGAAAAAGCCTCCTCCTGCTTTGTATAAAATGTGACTGGCAAAAGGAGCTGCACAGATGATGAGGAAACTAGCCACCACAACAGTGAGTACTCCCAGGAGCATAAGAACTGTCCAGAAACCTCGATAAACTAGAGAAAAGGAAGACAGAAGAAAAAGAATACAATGCTTTTTAGAACTTATCCAAGTGGGTAACAAATATTTTCCTTTCCCCTTCTCTTATCACTTGCCTTATTAACAAATGAAACACTAATTCTATTTTGCATATACATTATATATCATGTGGATCAAAATAGGTTTGATTACCAGCCCTTACCTCATGATCATGGAAAACAGCATGTAAGTTATTGTGAATGAAATCCATCTGCTGAATATTTAGCAATACCTTGTAAGATAGCAACCTGACCAAACTGACACTCTTTAGAAAATGGTGCAGCAAAGCTATAGCAGTGATTCCTTGGGATAAATGATTGGACTGGCAGAATACAATTATTTTACCAAAATTGTGTGGAAGAAGCAGAGAGCAGCAACATCTTGACACTCCTAGTGCTGAGACTGTATCACCAATAACAATCTGTAAGTTCTTTACAATTTATGGCTGGATAATGCTCCTTATACATAGCCATATTCAGCAAAAAGAAACTTAAGAAACAGGGAGAAACTAAGAAAATATAAACTGTATTTCTGAAAAACAGCTAAATGTCTTAAACCAGCCTATTTCTGCTCTAAAGCTCTTTGTATTTTATTAAATTTAAAATGTGATGTTTCAGAAGCCTGTTAGGCAGTGCCAAGCAGTGCTGAATTAATGGATGCAGCTGGTGATAAATGAGCTGAGAGTTTTGTGACATACTCTGGCCAAAAGAGTCTTTCTAACAATTAGTTTTTAGCTGGTTAATTGCACATCTATTTAACAAAGTCATCATTTTACAAATGCTACAAGAGTGACATAAATTTCTCCCATGAATTTAAAAATTGGTACATTAACACAACCCATTAGTAAAATTATGAGTTGTAAAGATCTCCATCGTCAGATCTGAAAATCTTGAAGCACTGACAATTCAGTCAGTGAAAAACATTTCCACCCAACTGAGAGAAAGCATATAAGCCAGCTGGCAAGTCAGGAAAAGTGTATCACAAAAGAAACTGCCACTTATCATCTGACAGCACCTACTTACTGTTATGGAAAAACACAACCAAGCAACTATTATACTGGTTCATATCCCGGAAGATTCAAATTCATACAGCTTGTTAGAGACAGCTATTCAGTAATAATTCAGGTTTGCTCTCATCTGAAATCTGAAGGCTCACTGGGCATTAGCAGCTTGGGTTTCCCACTAATGTATTCCAATGTCTATGGTTTTTAACTTGACCAGCTTAACACAAGTTAAAGAATACATCATCAGCCTTGTAAATGCATTAGCTAGATCATGCTCGCACATTACATTAGCCACACTTTTTAAATAACACCCTTTTTAATCCAAGCAAATATTCAGAGACATAATTTTCCGCCACACTGATCAGCAGATTTGGGCATATAAAGGAGGAATGTGTCTGAAAATACCTGGCAGAAGGGTTAAAATTGTGGTTTGGTTCATATCCAAGTCTCCACTTCACATAAACAAAAAATTATTGGAGCAGTAGGTAAGAAATAAGGCTATGGCTCAGCAAAGCTGTTAAATGTGTATGTTGCTTTAAGTACTATACCTCTTATGGGATTTAGGCACCTGTTTAAAGTTAAACACATAGTTAAATGATTCACTTAATGCAAATGGACAGCAAATGGAGACCTAGAAAGGTAAATCTCTCAAGTCCTTCAGTCTTGGGTTTCTGAAGCAATTTCATATTATTTTACTCATGGGGCTACTTTGATAAGCTTCATTGCAGTCTCCAAGTCCATGGGACATTACTTCCTCGTTTAAAGCCTAATACCACTAAATCAATCTATAACCACCCAACTTTTTTACATGGGTGGCCCAAGGTACTTCAAAGTCATACTACATAATAGGACACATTGGCCAAAATGAAGCTTGAAAACGCTTTCTTGTATATTATTATTGTCAGTCACCTAAGTCATGGAGCAGTGTTTCTATTTTCTTAATGGAGGAGGACATGAGATTCTCCAGCATTACAAAACCAACATCCATTTTCATTATCCACTTTTCATACAGGAGGCTTTGAAGTCTGTTTTTAGTGAGATTTCCTGAGAAAAGCTTGATTTGATGCTCAAATATTGTTAGAAACAGAGCACAAAAGAAGTACAAATGTAACTGATGAAAATTTTTTCAACCTTTCTGTAACTGTACAAGAGAAAAGCTGTTTCTCTGCTCCAGCACTATTTTATGCATTGTGTCGGAAATACTGATTTCACCTAGCTATCCCCTGACAGAAGCTTCCATTCTATTTCTCCAAAGTAGTTATTTACTCTAAAGAATCATGGATAAAGTCTGATTATCCTAATTCTTGTTTATTAATCTAATTCAGTCATTAAATATCAATTTAAAAATAGAGTGTAGTTGACAGGTACAAAGTCTGCTCACAAATCTGTGACTTTTCAAGCAAAATATTATCCCCTCTAACCTGCAAGGCAGAAAGTCATTTGGTTCATTTGTGGCACAGGTCTGAGGAAACACCCTACGAGCACGTAGACTTTTACTTTTGTAAGGGAATTAAAAAGCCATCATTTTCCTGCAAAGATGGCTTCACTTATTTTATGATCTGATCATTTTTGCTTAGATCACATTTCCCATCATCTCTACCTAGATGGACAAGATCAATTTCTAAAGGGCTAGTCATTCAAAATAACAACTCTGGCCTATTGCTGTCATTTAGCTTAGCTGTCATCTATAGATGAACACCAAAGAGCTGGTTGAAATTAAATCTTCTAAGAGAATGAAATTGCTCTTCAAGTCAAAGACTTTGCTGCTCTGAGATTGAGACACACAATGATAGATAAAATGCAACAGAGGATGCTGCTTTGAATTACTCTTCTTTACATCCCATGAAAAGGGCTGACACTGTGATCCAAACAGTCTGTTTCAAGAAATAATGGTTCAGTGGACCCATACAAAGTGTATCCATACAGAAGTTTGCACAATTTCAAGTCTCACTGAGGTATTTCATAGGATAGCCCATGTTCTGGTCCAGATGACAAGGAGTACCCTTCTCTCTTCCAGACACTTCACAGGTATGTTAAAGTTACCAACCTCAAACACATGCATTATTCCGAGTGTTTCCTACAACAGAAGAAATAAAGTACAAGCACTTCTGCAGAGTGCAAAGTAAACATATCTGCAGTGTTTAAAATCTTAGATACCATTTCTCTGTGTTGCAAGAGTGCTAAACAGAAGGTTTTGTAACTCATCTTGGTAAGCCAGCCTTTTGTTGAGTACAACATTTGCCTAGGAAATAACAGGCAGGCCTAAAAATAAAAAAGACTTAGCGGAAAACTTAGGAGTACACACAACTGCACCATTGGGCCTGTATAGGAACATTATATTCCTCCAAAATTGCATGACCTGTAGTTTTCCCTTGCTACTTGTTTTTCTCACTAAAGATCTTAATTTAGGTCCCTCCAGAGACTTTCACATTATTTGAAAACTAGAAGTATCTGGGTTTGTGCAGTCTGAAATTTTGGAGAAAGGGAGGAAATTACCACAAGCTTTTTTTTTAGTATAGTAGATCCCAGCATTGATCACGAACTGAACTTCACGAAGTGAAGTTACAGATTCATATTTTAAGATGTTACTGATACATGATTTGAAAGAGAAGCAATAATTAATTTGAAAAGTTACAGAGCTATGTCACCTACACTCACACTTGCGAAGCAGTCATGGACACCTCTGGAGGTCCATAATAGTTACTCAGGAACGGCCCAGATAATGTCACAAAGCAACACCCTTCTGCTGTTGGAGATGTTAACATCAGCATCATGAAACCATACCAAGTATTTCACTGCCCTTGCTGACTCAAAGTGTTTTCAAAACACAGCCATCAGTCCATAAAAGTAGTGTGGTCTACCATAAAAACCCAGGCTACTTAATCTTAAATTTATGTCAATATGAATTATTAAGCACTATAAGGATGAAAATCCTTTTGAAACATGTGTTAATACAATGCCACATGAAAATTTCCAGGGGTAGGCAAAAAGTCTTAGAAGGGTTTCCTTGAACTATCATGGACAAGCTCACATCCAAAAGGGAGCATTTCCTGTGATCTGACAGTGGATTGTATTTTAGAATGTGCAGTTTTTTACCTCTCTATTTAATGTAAGAGATATTGAAATGCTTTTGACAAGAGTTTTGCCACACACAGTGCCAATACAGTGAAAGGCAAAGTGCCAGAATTGCTCTCAACCAGGAGTATCTTCTCTGCAGATAAACAGCTGTAAATGAAATCACCTATCTCAGCAGCAGTACAGGAGACACACCGGGCAGCACAGTAAACTTTTGCAAGACTTTTCTCAGCTTCATTCAGCACCCTTTACTATCCCTTAGTAATATTTTTTTTTTTTCAAAAATAGCTTTAACACTAATACAAATACAATATTCACAAATACAAATATTCACAAAATGGATACACTGCTTTTCTAAAATGCATCTTACTTTATAGCTGCTTGGGGGGCTACAGAGATCACGTTTATAAATGTACTGTATTACAATCTCTCATGGGCAATTATATGACTATTACATAAGAGCATTTTTTCCCCTAGAAATAGACTACTGCTAACATTTCACTGGTACAACTTCTATTTTCAGATTTCATGGCTGATATTTTCCAGATTACTTTAGGCTAATTTCAACCCATTAACAAACCTGCCAATAAATTTGATCTCACCATTTTAGATTAAACAGTTGTTAAATCAGATTTTTGCTTCAGTTCTATAATCATTGTGTATTATCCATTAGGCATTACTTAAAATGCTGGCAATGTGCCCAGTACTGGACAAAATAAGATACCAATAGTCAGGAAAAAAAATACTGGCAGCTACAAATCAGAATATTAAACTAATATGCCAGTGCTGCCCCACTAAAATGCTTCCACTTCAGCTTCAAAAGGTGTTGGGGTGATTTACAACAGTTAGGGCAATATTGTGTATTTCCAAATTAAGTTGAAAAAAATCCCCTTAAAAATAAAAATAATGAATTAGTGACTAAGTGTTAGATTTTTCACTTCTTTTTCTCACAAATAATCTCACTATGGCCAATGGGACTATTTCCATGAGTAAGAACTTTGCACATTTTCCAAAACCAGGCCTAGTATTGTCCTATAGTAAAAGAACTTTAGGAAAGTGTGATAGCTCTTGAACATCAGTTTTAAGTAACCTAATGACATGATATTATGCATGAATCTAGCTAGCATGAATTAATATTAAAAATACTATGCATTTATGCTTTCAGAATAGCCTTATGGGGCAACTAATCTGTTTATGATTATGCAATAATATGTCTATTTTAAAATATATAGGTTGCTGCTGTGGTATTTCTATTGCATGGTCTAATTTAATTTTTTTATTCCTAGGTTGTAGTTTACTGCACTTATATTTGTGAATCATCATAAAAATGAATCTGCTAGCAACACAATGAGGTGCTAAGTCAACTTGAGAGCTGCACACTATGAAAGTTGTCACTCTAAACCTCTGTACCATCACAGAAAGTCACTAGAGTCAGGCTTCCCCTGAGTTCATTTAGAACCTGTTTCAGGTTAAGGTAAATGGCATGGCCTATGAATTTCTTAAAATACATTAACCATAAATGATGGATCACACAGCTTTTGATGATACCTTACACTAAAGCTAGGGGAAGTCCTCCCCACTCTGTTAAGATTATTTAACAAAACCAATGAACACACAGAAACATTATAACCATTATTACAAGATATAGCAAACTGCAATTTCAAAGCAGTGCTATCTAGCCCTATGAAGCTGGTCATGCATCTAACAGTAATGATTAAATGATTGGATACATTAAAGTATGCATTCAGACCTCCAATATAAGCGCCCCATAAGCTTTTCTGTCTTTACATTTCCATCTAAGGCTGTAGTCCTTGACACCAAGACTTCATAGTCTATGTTTGTACACCAGAATGAACCCAGCCTTTGGTCTAAAGCTTTGTAAGGCACACTGAAACACTAAAGTTACCCATTCTCAGTGCTTTAAGATTTTTGGGAACTATAACACAAAAGCAAACCCAACATACAAAAAGATGTAAATAAACTAAGAGAGGATAGGTGAGCCTGTTTTGAATTCTGGCCCAGAAAAGTTCTGAGCCACATTCCTACTAAAGCCAAAGGAGTTATGTCAACAGAGAACTTGGTCCAGACACTGCACTCAAAAAGCATCAGAGATTTCATGTTCCTCAGGCAACTTATCTTTGTCTGAGCTCTTGTAGCTGGATGGCGGCACAGCACTCCAACAAACCACACTTGTGTCCACACAAGTGACTGCACAAGGGATTAAAGTTAAATGCAAATTCCTCTAACATCCAAAAGTTTCTTAAGTCAAATAGTCTGTAAAAAAGTCACGTGCCTCGACTTGTTCAGCAACTAATAGTGCTCTGAACAGAAAGTTATAAATTTTTAGAAAATATGTTGTATACATGTTTGATTTTTCTAAAGAAGTTTAAAGCTTTTTATTCAGCTTTTTCTTTTTTTATGAAAGAGCAAATGAAGATGACAGAAAAATTCTCATTATCTTGTAATATTTTGTTAAAATAGAACTTGATTGACTCACTAAAAGTACAATTATAAACCTGGGGAGAAAATTTGAGCTTTTTATCATCCCCAAAAGAGAATATGTCAAGAAACCTATGAGCCATGAAAATGTTATCAAGAAACAGTAGCAGAACCAAAAAAGGGGACAATAATGTCATTTTTTTTATTCTATATTTTGCTAATGTAAAGTATTAGATGCAGACAACTGGATATACAAATCATAAATGAAATCTTGTTCTTCAAGGAACCAAACAGGAGACTTTGGCCACTGGCTTTATAGAGAACCACTTCCTGCACTGGGAGTCAGGAAGAAGAGGATAACCTTCTAGCATTTCTTAATTTAGCAACTCCAGATGAAGCAAGGTTTTTAAAACCTGTTTGCCAAATATCCTGGGCATGACTGTCAAACTAGAATAAAGGAGAAACAAGTTTTGAATGAACAGAAGAGATGATGACATAACCTTCTTCATAAAAAGTTGTGAAAGACTCTTGAGCAATCATAACTGTTCTAATAAATAACTCAGCTTGGATGCTGAAAATGAAATGTAGGCATAAAAACCCCAAACCGTCTTCAGTTTTAATGAGCTCGAAAGCAATCCAACTGTATCTATTTATATAGCAGGAACAGCTCTGAATATACACTACCTGGGCCAGCATCTATAGTACAGTTCTGCCTACTTTTAATCTCCTAATATGAAATATAGATAGGAAAATTATATTTGAGCAGTGGTTCTTTTGGCAAACATTAACTAAAATTAATTAAACTTTTGATGATATTCCTTCTCCTTTTCTTTTTCTTTGTTTGTCCACTTCTGTGTAATCATGCAATGTAATTTGAGGAACCTTTGTGAATGTATGAGTGAATGGTGGAATACAAACTCTGTCTAGGCTATTAGAAGCTGATGACTCTGTCACTTTCAAATGAAAAGATAAACTGTTCTAGATGTGCTGTGAAGTTACAGATTAGATCTCTGAATGGTGAGGTCTGAATTCTTCCTGGACAAACAGTTCATAATTTCTAAAGATTAACAGAACCATTATAATTCTAGTTTATTTTCTTTTTCATGTCTGCAGCATAAAAATTGGATTCTAAAGACACTTCAAGGTTAGCAAAAGCATAATTACAGCTTCAGGACAGGAAGGGATCACTTAAGTCCCTTAGTCAGCAAGCTCAGAGACATGTAGCATGCACACACCACAGGTTGTTTAAAAAGTCATGTGAAATAGATATCAGAAGTTATTTATTTCAAATATGTTTGTGTAAAACTCTTAATATGAATAAAAGTTCCTGGTATTTTTAAGTCTGTCCTAAGTGTTGTAAATACAGATCTTTCTAGGCACTATTCAAACATAAAGTTTTCTATTTATGCTTATATTTCACACTTATATAAATACATACTTACATGTATCTCTGTTACAGTACAATAGTTTCTCAGTGAAGCATATCTGAGTCAGTTAAATAAACTCAGATAGCATCAAGGCTCTGCTCCTCCTTCCACATAAAGTAAAAATGCAGTAGATTTACATCCGTGTTTATTTATTTAACAAAAACAAAATCCCCAAAAAAAAAAACCTAAACCAAAACATAACAAAAAATTCCAACTAAAACCAGTTTTATTGAAATACATGACAATAAGTACTTGTTTAATGTGTTCAGCCCAAGGAAGACAATTGCTATGTTGGAGAAAAAAAGCACTAAACAGGAAACGCCTCTGGTTTTTTTGTTGGTGTTTTTTTTTCAGCTAAGCATTATTTATGTGCTTTGTTAAACAGTGGCTTAAATATGCATGTTGTAAAACTATGAGAAGTATGAAATACCAAAATATGTTAATTAAACAGTGTGGAGTGATAAGGCTGTTTTATTTTGAAGCATCCAAATTGCTTTCTTGAAACTATGGGCATTGTATTCATTTGCACCAAACAATACTTACTGATTGCAGAGTCATAGGAGGTGGAGTTGTGCTCATCTCGGAGAAGAGGAAATGGGGACAGGTAAGCATGTGTACAGTTCTTAGAAGGTGACTGGTTGGCTAAAAATGAAAGAAAGCTAAAGATTAATATTTTACTGCCTTAACAATACTGTGTGTCTGTTCTTCAAGTGGGCAAACTGAGCTTCACAGGTCAAGATTTCAGGTCCTTTCCTAGGCAACAGCTTACAGTGAACTTGGTTTGGTAAGAGATTCAAGCATTGTTATCCAGACAAGAATATTCCTTAAAGAGCAATATAGACTGCTCTTTAAAGGCAGTAAATGAGCCCTGCTGAAAGCACACTGCAATTTAGATGTGATGCATATGTATGCCTTTGCATGCATATGTACCTTTCTCAATTGAGGGTTAGTTATATTCTTCTCGTTATTACATGTGCAGAAAAAAACCCAACCAAATAAACAAAATCCAAAATTGCTTTTTCTTTTGTGAAAGAACAATGAAAATATCAAGCATCTTCAGAGAGTTTACAATGGCCACAAGTAAGAGTCTAGTCTATGGAGTGAATATCCTCCAGAAAAGGATAATTTCACCCTTTATACCAAACACTTCTCAAAATATCAACTTCTTCCTGCAAAAGACAAAGGTTGACTATAACTTAAACCCCATCTAAGTTTCAGATTCCTGACCACATAATTTTCCAAATAAATAACAAGGGGAAGTTAACTACATTGAATATTACATTTTCCACCCAAGACAAAGCAATATATTTAGCAAAATATGGGCTGTTGAAGTCAAATTGGTATGATGGCACCTGCTTTTCACAAGGATTATGGAAATCTTGCAATAAGGTGAGGGAGCTCCCTACCTCAGAGGGAGTGCCAAAGACGGGAGAAGAAATTTTGCTTGCCTTCTAAATGGGAGGTTTTGGTTGTAATTCTATCTATCTTAGAATCCTGGATGTAGTGAAAGAAAGCAACAGGTCATCTGTGAATGTAATAAAGAAAATCTTCTGGAGATGGTGTGTCCTACACCATTTTCACTGTGGAGTCGCCCATTCCCTTCCTGACCCACTTGTAGTCAGTAAAGAACAGATGGAGAAACTCCCCAAGCAAAAATTCATGGACCAGGCTAACCACTAAGCTCTTTTTTCCTTACTTAACAGAAATAAACCAACTCTTTAAGAGTAAGTGGTAAAAGACTTTGAAGCTAAGAATGGACTCAGGTTAGCAGGGCATCCATAACAATCACAGTGTAATCTGATAGCTAAACTTGTATCATTTTGTCCTGGGGTTTCCTATAGATTACAAAAGTGTGTGTCAAGAATTTATTTTATGGTAGCTGAAGAACCTGATCCCCAAAGAAGCCATATGAAATCTAATGATTCATAAGACAGAAGGGAAAACAAAAAACACACCAAACCTCAACAATTATGAGAACAAGCTACTGTGGATAAAGTAAAAGGAAAAAATTACTTACTATACCAAAACTTCCACATGCTGCCATTATTATCTCCTACATTTCCACTAAACCAGCACCTCCAGAAGAAACCTTCATGATGGAAAGTGGCCTTCTCTTCCTACAGAGGAAGAAATTAAAGAAAAAGAAAGCTATTATCATACAATTTTTGAATGACTGAAAGAATTAAATTCAGTTAGATGTTGATGTAAAAAACACCGCCATCATAATGACACACAACCTGTCTGAATTTAGGTCAGCTAGAACATTTAAAAACAGTCCTTCTTCTTTTGAAAGAATATCATATTGCAAAAGCAGTATAACAAAATAAAAATTAATTTTAAAGTGATTATAAAAGGTTTTGAGGCAGGCTTGTAAGCCTCCAGAAGGTCAAAATTAGTATATTCAAAACTATATGCAGAAGTAAATTCTTAGAAAATAAACAAAATTAGTATATTTAAAAGTTTATAAAATAATCACATCCAAGAATTCTGCATATATAATTCACATTATAAATAAAAAGTTCATACTAACCCCAGCACCTTGAGGTGCTTCTGAGCAAGTTCCTATTTCTGTAGCAAGAAGCCAATAATCTGTTCCAAATGCCACCAAAAAAAGCAAAACCCCCAGAGCTGCAAAGAAGCCTCCAAAAAATATCCCCACGCTCAGTTTCATTATTGAAGTTATTAGGAAAAAACAAAAACACAAAAAAAAAAAAAATTACTTAAAAGGTTAGCAGTAAAATAAATTTAAAACAAATTATTGGTAAAGTAACTAAAAAACTGTATGGAGAAAACAGCTCATATCTGAAGAAGTTTCTCTTCACTTGACTTTCTGCCTGTGCCCTTCTTCCCAATGCCCTGTGAGTCGATTTGTGTCTCCAAATTTGTGTTCCATGTGGCTGACTCAAGTCTGACAGATGAAAAGGGCCTTCTATTTTAGGACACTGATGGCAGAGCTTTGCTCTGTTTCGCTCTCCGGGCGAGGCCAGTCAGAAATAGCTGACCTTCCCCTAACTAATCAGGGATTGACTTGAAATATTATTGCAGCTGGTGCATCATCGCCAGTGGAGATGGAATTGCAATGGCTCTGTCCATCTACGTGAGCAGCGTTACACAGCACGCAGTAGTAGCAAGGACTTCCAAAGTTCAGGCCTGGTGGTGAAGGTCTCCTTAGCTGCTAGCAGGAAAGGAAACACCTTTCAAAGCAAAGAAGTTACTGTAAGTCATGTTACAAAAAGAAGGCCGAGAATTTTTTATAGAATTTTAAAATATGGTAGCCGAAATGAAGAAATGCCTCTGAAAAATCCTATATTATAAAAATACAGTTATCTTTAAAGATTTACATCCTACGTTTAAAGTAATAACTTTAGCAATATTAAACACAAAAACACCTAAATGCTTTATTTGTTCAGATGCATCTTTTTTGCATGTATCAAAAATTTATGCAGTTAAAAATTTCTTCAAGCACTTGATAAAAAACTTCAATCTTTTTAAAACAATAAGACACTTTCCCAAGAACCCAAGAACATGCTTTGGCCATTTTGGAAAGTGATGAGGTAAAACATTTAAATTACAAGTACTCACTGTACAAGAAAAAGGCTTTTTCAACAAATGCCTTTCATGCCAAGCAGGCCTTCCCAATCATTTCTCATTGATTGCAGAAATGTGTAGAGTTTATAACATGCACCAGATCCTACAATCCTTACCCAATAATATTTCATTGGAATTATTTATCACCAGAATAAAATTTTCCATTGATACTGCATACTGAAGCATTGGGCTCAAGAGAAGAATTAAGCCAGTTTACTCCAGAAAACATTTGTCACAACAATTTATGGCAATAAACTTAGGACTCCAGAGGGACTCCTACGTTCACTATGCCAGTATTGGTTTGGACAGCACATCAGCCTGCTTGAGGACAGCAAGGAAAATGCTGTTTCTATCATCTCACTTCATTTCTACACTGATGAACTGGTGTTGTGTCCTCAGTGGTTTTATACCACTATACAGTCTGCCCAACATCATATTCACATTTGTTATTAACCATATTTTTTCAAACCTGATACCATACTAATTTCATACACAAGCACATTTAATATTCTGTGGCCTTTTTGCACTTCAGAGTGTCAGTGTATGCAGAGCAGCAAATGAATATTCAAACAGACTCTTTTTGTCATATTTGCTTTTCCTGACAGCCACTGATGCAGTTCATTTTGATACAGCAGAAGAGAGGTGTTTAGAAACCTAATTTTGGAAAGGGATCTTTTATTGTTCATTACGAAAGAACACAAAAAAAAATCAAGACAAGGAAGAACACACTTCTTATAGAATGCACTATAAAATAAAATAAAAATGATTACTTGCAATTTGGAATAATACTTCAACTTTTGGTCAGCCCTGAAGTGATCAGGCAGGTGGATTAGATAATTGTTGTAGGTCCCCTCCAGCAAATATTCTATTCTGTTCTGTTCTGTTCAATTCTATTCTAATGTGTCTTAAAAAAAAAGTAGGATTCAGTTCAGCACTAACATGCCCAAATTTAGACAATTTCATATAAGCTAAATGTTTTTCCATCATTATCAATAGTGATGACACTCAGTGGAGCCAGAGAGCAGCTTATCACAACCTAGATTAGACTCCCAGGGCTCTGCTCAGTCACTTGGGCAGGCACCTAGCTCTAGCCAGTTCCAGAGTACCCTGCTGGCTCCCAGCTGCAATACCAGAAGGGTGTATTTCCCTCTCTGTTTTAAAACACCTGCTAGCCCCACATGGGATCTTACATGCCCCCTCTCCCCTTGGATGGCACTAGGACCCTACAAGGGGCTGACTGAATCACGTCTGGAAGGAGCGACATGGTGGCCTTGCTGTCATCTCCCAGAGCCGGGTGCTCCGGGATGTCTAAGGCACCTACACTGGGCACACAGGTGCCACAAGGGACTTAGAGGAGGCCAACACCTTTCCTGAGTGACAGCCACAGCCAGGTTCACACCACCTGGGCCATCCAGGCCACCTCTGAAGCCAGGCTCCTTCAGCTTCTCAGACCATCCTGGAGGCACTGCTGAGTGTTTTAGCCAGACCTCGATCAACTCTGACCGCAGCAAAGATCGGTATTTCACGTGGAGATGGCCGAATGCAAAAGCCTTAATCTGCAACTGAATCCTACTCAGTGAACTGGAGTTCCCAACTATTTTGCTGGTGTATGGGTGGCCTTAGAAAGCATTGGCCCAAAGTTCAAGAATTTCATACAGTGAAATTCAAAGATACAGATAGTCACAGCATAAACAAAATACATTTTATTTAGTTCTTCATGATATCTATTAAAAATTAATTCTAATTCACTGTTTAACACTATGCCACTTACCTCATAATAAATAATCGGATGTCTTATAACGTCACAACAGTGAACTTTTCCAGCATTAAATTAAAAGATAAAAGAGAACTCCAGACCCCAGTCTCAGCCACTGAACCACAATTAATAAAACAAACAACCAAAAAATATCAAATGGGTAATTCCAGTCATGTTGCACCTACCTGTCCTCAGGACAGAAATATGTCAGTGACTCTGTGAGCCTGTTTGCATGAAAGTAACTTATTCTTGTGAGTAGCTTCACTGAAATCACTTTGCATGGAAAGTTTTGCTGAATTCAAATGACAGCTGAATTACTGCCTGTGCAGTGCAAGTATTTATTTTTAATATACTGTACATGCACTCTGGTCTCAGTTTAGCATGTTCATCCTGAGAGGATCTAATTTAATTATTCTCTTTTATATTTATGGCACATTCTCTGGCAGTGTTATCTTCCAAATACTCTAACATCACCAGTATTATGCCCGTCTATGTCAAGAATGAAGCAGAAGCCATGTTAAGACTTGTTATGTCAGCTTAAAAATTCATGTTATCCACCACTTGAATACTCAAAGAAAGTCTCAGGGCCTTTTTCTTTAATTAAATTAAATTCTGAAGGTTCCTCAATAGAAGAGAGAAAGTTTTAAGGGAGAGAAAACAGGGCCAAGCTTATCAAGGCAAAACAATCATTATTTTGAATCTTAAACAAAGTCATTCCCCAACTCCTTTCAAAACTCCTAAACTTCTGCAGAAATACTGTCATTTTAAACCAAAATGACTTAGCCAAATTTATCCCTACTATAATGACAATTAAATAATTAAATCAGCTTTAATATTCAATTAATTTGGCAAATTAAGCCAAACATTCATGGATTTTGTTGACTCATAGTGTGAAGATTGAAGGACCCACATAATAGATGGATTCCAGTCTCATTTAACAAAGCTGCAAAAGTTTTTTGATTTTATTTCTGTTTATTCACCAGATAGATAGGGCTAAACTAAGTCCTGAATCTGCATATTTTATTTATGCATATAATAGTGCCAGCTTCAACATAGTATCTGAGCCCCTCCTTGTATTTAAAAATAGAAAAGAAAAATAATTAAAAAAACAATAGCAGGCTGTTTCTTTTTTTTCCTTTTCTATCTGAAGGGGGAAAAAAGATATTTATGGGAAGGGGATGTTGTTTATTTGCTTGTTTATGTTTGTGTGTGATTGAGTAAGTGTCGGGTGCGTATGTTTGGAATTGGCAGGCAGCTCCTTATCTGTGCTGGCAGATATGCCCATGATCTAAAAACAGCCTTTTAGAACTGGCTGCATGTCTTACTATATACCAAGAAACAATTTCAGCAACTGCCTCAGAGCTGAGCCCTTCTGAGACCTCAATGCTCACTTACTGTTCTAAACAGTAATGGGAGTATCTCATCCACTGATTCCAATCCTCCTCCTGTCCATGTGCCCCAGCTGGGCAGATGTTACCTACTGCACCTACACGATTACTTGTCAGGAGAGTACTAGGCAGACAAACATACAGACACCTACACAGCATACCCTGCACACACCTTGTCCATTAAATGTGTGGCTGATGTTCATCTTTAAGCTGGTCACGTCAGGTTTCCTCTACAGTCATATGTCACTTTTACAGCACAGTCCATCTGACCTTTTTTAGGACAGCCACCTAAATGTGCAAGAAACCATGCCCTAAAAGTACAACTACTTTGGTTGGTTGGTTGGTTATTGGTTTGGTTTGGTTTGTTCACTGACCAAGAGCAGGTCTGGAATAACTAGTTTGAGATATGACCACTTTTTTCTTAACACTACAGGAAATCAGACCACAAGTCACACAATCACAGAGTGACTGAGGATGGAAGGGACCTCTAGAGGTCATCCAGTCTAACCTCCCTGCTCAAGCAGGACCACCTAGAAATGATTGCCCAGGACCATGTCCAGGTGGCTTTTGAATATCTCTGAGGCTGGATACTCCAAAACTTCCTTGTGGGAGCAAACACCTGCCAGTGTTTGGTCACCTTAACAATAAAAAGTGTTTCCTGAGGTTACAAGTGACCCTCTGGTGTTTCAGCTTGTCCCCACTGTCTCTGGTCCTGTCAATGGACATCACTGTAAAGAGCCTGGCTCTTTATATAAAACTCCCTCTGAGCCTTCTCTTTTCTAGGCAGAACAGTCCCAGTTTTCTCAGCTTTTCCTCATAGGAGAGATGCTCTGATCCCTTCATCACCTCAGTTGTCCCTCATTTGACTCCCTCCAGAGTGTGTCTCTTGTACTGCAAAGCCCAGAACTGGACACAGCACTCCAAGAGTGGCTTTACCAG